CATTAAATTTTATATTATTTTTATAAATTACTCATATTAATTATATAATTAATAACATCATAATTATATTATATATAAAATATGTAAATTAGTTATATAATTATATAAAAATAAATTTAATATGAAATATATTAAAATATAAATGGCTTTTCTAAATAGCTTTTTATCATTGGAATGCGCATAATTAAAAAAGCTATATTTATACTATTTAAAAAGATATTTTATCAATTTAGCTCTTCAATTTAGCTTTTTGCATTAGAAATGTTTTTAGAGAGTGCTTGAGAGTCTATTTGTTTTTGTTTTTGAATTTCTGAAACAATCTTTTTTACTTGATTTTTTAAAAATTTTATATTAATAAATTGAAAATATAAGTCACTAAAAAATTATTAATTAAATATTTTAATTAAAAAATTATTTTAATACATTTCAAGTGAAAAACTATTTTAAAAAGCATCTTGCATTATAATTTCAAGCATATATTTGTGATACAGAATATTTTTTTAAAATATTTCTTGTTTAAAAAAATATTAAAATAATTATATATATATATATAATTTTTAACATTAATAATTTAAAATAATTGAAAAGTATTAAAAATATTAATTTAATGTTTTTTAAATAAAATATACTTTTACAATATATGAAAAAATACCGTACTTTGAAAATCTCACTAAACGAGGGAGGCAAAAAGGAAGGGGCATCATTGCATCAAATATTAACACCACGTTGCAAGAAAGAAAAAGGAACCCTACGAAAAAATCACGATGGACATTGTGGCATGCATGGTAATTTTATGTAACTTCTTTGTCGATTATTTATTATGTTTTTTCGTTACATGTTTTCGTGGTATAAAGCATTACCGCATGGTTCCTTCCCATTCGGGTTGACTGAAACTACCGTCCTTAAATAATTTTTTAATATTAAACATCGTTTTATTTGTATTGATTTTCAAGACTTCAAACCTGCCCTTGTGGTTTTAGAATTATCTTTATTCACGGTAAGATTTAATAGTTTTAC